TTATGTTCGAAAGGTTGAATTAAAAATTTATATTTACTCAAATAGTCGTCATAAGGATTGGAATTACGTTTAGAAAGTTGAGGATTGGGATTAGTAGGATTGTTATAAAATCTTTCTAAACGTTTCTTAAAGTAGGTAGAGATGTGGAAATTATTACTTTGACTATTTGAAATTTTATTAGATTTATTATAATTAGAAATTGGAGGTTTGATAGTGTTTTTAGGATTGGAATTTTGTAATAAAAATGAATTAATATTAGGTTTGGGTTTTGGATTCGGGGTGGCACGGGATGGAAAATGTATAGGAATAGTTATGGAATTGTTAAAATGTATGTTTGAATTTTTGAAATTAATATTTCCCCCATAAGAATTTAAAAAATCTATCCCCAGTATCCCATCACCCCTTATATAAAATTTGTCTGAAACAATATAAAATTTGTGGGTGATCGCTTTATTCCCCAATAAAATTTTGAAATTTGCTGTCCCTATAGTCTCGACAGTACGCCCTGAGGCACAAGTAATTTTGATTTTGTCATTTTTATTAGTATTAATATTAGTATCATCATCTAAATTAGAAAGTTTAAGGACACTGACTTCAGCACCAGTGTCTACGAGAAGATTAATTTTAGGTTTTATAGTGTCGAGAAAATTTAAATTGATATAGGGAAGGCTTTGTGTAGTATTGAGACAGGAAATTTGAATATTTTTAAAGTCTTTAGCTTTAACAATTTCTTCGGGAGTAGAAGAAGTGGAAGGTTTGTTATCTAAAATTTCTATATTATTAATTTTGGAACGATTCTGTTCATTATAAAGTCTCCTTCGACAATCTTTAATTAAGTGGCCAATGCCTTTACAATAGTTGCAATTAAGGAGCTCCGTCTTGGTAGGTTTGTGATCGAAGGAATTATGAGAGGTATTTAAAGGATTGAAAGGTTTGAGATTAGTTGAATTATACGAAAGGTTAGTAGGTTTGAAAGGTTTCTCAAAACGGGAGAAACTTGATTTGGACATTTTTAAAGAAATCTCCTCCTCGATAGCTATGGAAATGGCAGAGTTTAAACTTTGAGGAGATTTACAATTAACTATAATTTTAAGTTTAGGGTGTAAACCCTCTTGAAAAACATAAAGTGCTTGGTCTTGGAGGAGGTCAGTATAATATGAATTAGCTGCAGGGTTATTCTTTTTCTTAATCGTGGCATCTATCAGCTGCCCTAAAATAACCTGCAGACGCATAGAGTAGGACTGTACGTCCTCATTTGAATGCTGATAAATTTTATTAAATTCGATCTGTAGTGAGGCTACAGATCTAATATCAAAAAATGTCTCCTCCAAGCAAGTTTTTAATTCGAGAAAAGAATTTATAGACTTGTATTGGGTAGCTTGAAGAGCTTTCCCCTCTAATTTTGTAAATAAAATAAATTTTATGAGAGCCGAGTGATCCTTCGGATCAGTACTCTCAAAAACGTAAGATAGAAAATTAAGAAATGGAGATAACTTTTGGTTATCCGAGCCATCAAAAACTTTAATTATGTCCATTGCTCGGTGCAATGTTAATGCATAAGATTCTGCCATTTTAAGGTTAGTATTAGGAGATGGAAAACAGAGAGAAGGAGCAGATGAAAATTTAGAAAAGGATATAGATTTAGGTGAGACGACTACAGTAGTATTGAAAACTGAACTTACTAAATTTGGTCCGAGATTTTTGTTCGTCGACTCGAAAGATAGGTAGGTCTCAAATATTGAATCAGTTGATCTGCTTATTACACTCTGTTGCGGCAGCAAGAAGTTTTCTGCATCACGAGATTTGGACATTTACTCTATATTAAACAAAATGGAGTTAGTAACATGAAAAAAATAGATGAATATAAAATATAGAGATAATAAATATTGAAAAGAATTTGTAAAATCTGAAGAATAGTATATAAATTTGTAATTTAAAAAGATAGCATATAAAATTCTTAAATATATTAATCTAAAGGATAGTAATAAAATAGTATAATTAGTCTAAACACACAGCATATAAAATTATGTATCTAAAAATAGTAAATATAAGTATTCTAAAAGATAGTATAGATTTGATAATAAGGTTTGTAAAAAAAATAATCTTTCTAAAGGTTTGTGAAAAAAACGGCGATACTTAAATCTAGAATTGGTGTCTAAAAATTTGGAAGAAAACTATAAATTATTGTTACTCTGTCCTTTTTGTAGTGGAATTTGCCTGTATACAGACGCCGTCCGACCGCGTCGCTTGGTTTCCAGTTTGCAAGATGGCGGCCAGGTTCGCGCGTGCGTCGAATATAGAGTAATCTAGCAGGCTTACTTGCTTTTGGCTTTGTTTTCCAGCTTACTTTCCTGTGTTTTCCTCGGTCCTCCAGGCCTGTTTTTGTGTTGGATTTTACCGCTCGCCACCAATGTTGTGCTTCGTATATTTCATTGCTTTAACAATGAAATATTTCAGCTTGTAGTTGCCTTCAGCGGAGATTATATCGAGGATATATAATTATAAATTCAAACTCAAGAAAGTCCTTTTGACTTATAAAATAATTTATTAATACTAATAGAACACTTTGAATGAATATTTGATGTAGTTTGTATTTAATTGAATTTGGTAGTTTAGTATCGCCGCTAGTTGCCAAGAAGAGACTGCTCCTTGCATGTGCATCATAGGGTTATCGCCTTCGGATTTCTTCGGGTATCTCCGATACCCTTCGCCTGTCCTAGCTAGTGGTATGCATACTAACACAATATTCGATAGGGGTGTGAAGCGGGCATAACAATATGTAATTTTATTTGCATTATCAACAGCAGAATCGCCAGCACCGACTGTGGGATGTTGGTAACAATGGAAAATAATGCTGTCAGATAATTATGTTTAAGATATTTATGTCAAAAAAACTAGAAAAGCCTAAAACATTAAGATTTAATTGACTTTATAGCAATATTTTAACAATTCAGACAGTAAAATTAAATTTTAAACAAATGACCTTGAGATTATTTTGCTTCTAGGTACTTGTGCTGCTAACTATACGCACGTCAAGAGAACAGGGTTATGTATTTCACGTTTTTAAAAAACGCATTTATTTTTGTATGAGTTACTTATGTATATTTGTTCAAATATTTAAATTGTGTAAGTAAAGAATTGTTTTATACGTTTTTTTTGCATAATGTCCGTAAAATTTGACAAAAACCGTAAATTTTTGTCCAGCCGCCATTTTGTACAAAAACAAGGCTGTGTATTTTTTTTTGCAAGAAAATTATTTAACATTTAATTATTGTACAAGTTCCAAAAATTTATTAGTCAACATTGTTTTTGCAAATATAACAATGTATGGTATAACAATGTTTTAAATGCACAGATTTTTTTTTACATTTCACTCCTGCCTCGACAGCTTGGTATCAAGCAGCAGTAACAAATACTAAGACTAATTTATTTATTTAATGTAATAAAAATTACGAGAGTTTTATATACATACATAATATTATAATTTAAAAATTATGAAAATGTCCAGTCAAGTTTTAAACTTTATTCATGCCTTGGACAGTTTGATGTCAAGCCGATGTAAAAAAATACCTAAATTTCAAATAAGAATTACAAGAATTTTGTATACATGCGCTAATTCAAAAAATTATCATTTCCAGTCCGAAGTTCCAAATTCGACACACGTTTTAGACAGCCTGATATCAAGCAAACAAAACAAACAAAACTAAAACTTACTCAAGTAAAAATACAAAATTTGTACTAAAATAGTTGTGTCTAACAAAATTTGTACAAACTCAAAAATTAGTGTGTATCCTGTTTTGGTACTAAATTTTGGTTCCTGCTAACTAAATTTAGTATAAAGTACTAGTTTTTTTAGTACTTGAAAAGCCATTAAAACCTGCTTTACCAAAATTTGTACAAACTTATACAGTTTGTGCAAAAAAATTTATATAAATTCAAAAATTAGTGTGTGATACTAAAGTTTAGTTTTCGCTAACTAAATTTAGTATTAGTACTAAATTTTTTAGTACTTGGTAGTTAAAAATTGACTTAAACTTGCTTCACTAATTGTTTGTGCCACAAATTTGGTGCAAACTAAAAATCAGTGTGTGTACGCTGTTTTGATACTAAATTTGGGTTCCTGATAACTAAATTTAGTATTAGTACTAAATTTTTTAGTACTTCGTGGTTGAAAAACAATTAGATCCAGTATCGTTAGTGTGTTATGCAAAAAAAAACTTGGACTAACTATAAAAATTAGTGTTTTTGTCTAGAATTTTGTACGAAAATTTGTGTCAAGAGGACTAAATTTAGTATACAGTACTATTTTTTAGTACTAGTTAATTGAAAGTGAAAAAAATTAGTGTGTGTATCCAGAAATTTGTTTTTTGCAACAAAATTTACCTTAAAGAACTATTTTTGTGTCTACAAATTGCTAGTTGTACAAAAGTTGCATCTAGTGCTCGTGATACAAAAATAACAACAAAAAAGTGCTTTTTGCTTCAATTTTTTCATTTTCTCTCAAGTTGTGTCAACGTTCAATTAATCTTGTGGTCACAAAAAATATTCCAGGACCCTGAAAAAGTTTTTTGTCTGATCCTGGGAACAGTTTTTTTCCGACCTGCGTGAAATGTTTTCTTTTGTTCAACAAAAAACAGGTTTTCGTCAACAAAAAAAAGTTTTCTTTTTCGACGAGATGTATAAAGTGTCCAAAAGTTTTGTCCAAAAATTAGACAAAAGTGGTAACCAAAAGCTGTAGTTATGTGACTAGTGCTTAAAATAAAACATGAACAAAAAAAAATGTTAAAATCAAATAACAACAAATGATCAACAAAAAAGTTTTGGATTTGTTTTTATTTTATTTTCCCAAAGTTTTTTTTTAATTTGTGGTGATGTGGTGAACAAAAGTTGTGTGGTGACTTGTTTTTTGGATACAGTGACTCCAGGATTAACCAGGATACTAGATAGTATGATTAATTAAGTATATATTTTACTTTAAGTTTTGTTAAATTTTAGACAAAATGGCTACGCCCAAATTTTTTATCCTATTATTTTTTGTGGTACATGGTGTCCATTCTTTGTGTCAATACGAAAAGGATGAGACTACCAAAGTGTTATCCAAAACCCAAATGTCGTGTAAAATCAGGACGTTGGAACGTAGTTCCGAAAACTTTTCAAATTTAGGTGTCACCAGCCAAAAATTAGAAGTTTTGACCAAATTCAACATATCTTGTAACGAGATGTTGCTCTTCGAGAGCAACATCGGGGACGGTTTGTTCCTGATATTCCAGGCTTTAAACGAGTTGAATATAGAAAATTGTAAGTTTTTATTCTTACCTAAATTTGCATTTAACGGTTTGAGCCAACTTAAAAAACTATCAGTGAAATCTAATAACCAACTCTGGGGCGCTAATAAAAACTTGAACATATCCCAAGAGTCGTTCCAGGGTTTGAACGAACTCCAAAGCCTAAACCTGGCAGGTAATAATATAAATTTGTTGCAACAGAATACTTTGTGTCCTTTAAAATCTTTGCAGACTTTAAATTTGACTGATAATCGTATCAAATCTGCAAACGAGTTAGGGTTTTCTGCAGGTGCAGAACGTTGTTCTGGAGGCGAAGAATTGGTGACTTTGGATCTGAGTTACAACAGGTTGGCAAATATTGGTGATTTTTGTCAAATTTCGAAATTAAGGCGTTTGCAACAACTGCACTTGCAGCATAATAATATTACAGACGTGTCCAGTGAAAGTTTGATAGGTTTGACTAGTCTAAGGATCCTAAATTTGTCGTTCAACAAACTTGAAAGTTTACCAAATTTGTTGTTATTCAATTCAAGAGAAATCAGGGAGATTCATTTGCAAAACAATTTGTTATTCGAGTTACCCAAAGGTTTGTTTTATCGTTTGGAACAACTTTTGGTGCTTGATTTGAGTTCTAATCAACTGTCCAGCCATCATATTGATGAAAATATTTTTACAGGTTTGATCAGACTTATTGTTTTGAATTTATCCAACAACGCGTTGACACGTATAGACTCCAAAACCTTCAAAGATTTGTTCTTTCTACAAATTTTGGATTTAAAAAACAACTCCATCGGATACGTTGACGAAAACGCTTTCCTACCTTTGTACAACTTGCATACCTTAAACTTGGCTGAAAACAGGTTGCACCAAATCGATAACAACTTGTTCAACGGTTTATTTGTTTTAAGCAAACTGACTTTAAATAACAACTTGATCAACTCCATAGACATCAACGCTTTTAAAAATTGCTCGGATTTAAAACAACTCGATTTGAGTTCTAACCAAATCACCAGGATTCCTAAAGCAATCCAGGATTTGCAGATGCTTAAAAGTTTAGACTTGGGCGAAAACTTGATTGAAAATGTTGAGAACGACAGTTTCAAAAATTTAAACCAACTTACAGGTTTGAGGTTAATAGACAATCGTATAGGCAACTTGTCCAAACCAATGTTCCAAAATTTACCAAACTTGCAGGTTTTGAATTTGGCTAAAAACAAAATCCAGCAAATTGATAGGGATACTTTTGATGGTAACCAGAATTTAGAAGCTATACGCCTGGATAAAAATTTTCTAATGGACGTTGATGGTATTTTTTCAAGTCTGTTGAACCTACTGTGGTTGAATTTGTCGGAGAACAATTTGATTTGGTTTGATTACGCTTTTGTACCATTTAACCTAAAGTGGTTGGATATCCACAACAACTATATAGAAGTTCTGGGTAACTACTACAAAATCCAGGACAAGTTGAAACTAAAAACTTTAGATGCTAGTCATAACATATTGACGGAAATTTCTAACCTGAACATACCTGATAGCGTAGAATTATTGTTTATAAATAATAATTTTATTAGGAAAATCCACGCTAACAGTTTTTACGATAAAAAGTACCTAACCAGGATTGATTTGTACGCGAATGAAATCAAACAAATGGATTTGAATAGTTTGAAGTTGCCTAAGGTTTTGGAAAACTCTGGTGGCAAAACCAACACAGAAATTTACCTAAGTGGTAACCCTTTCCGTTGTGATTGCAGCATGGACTTTTTGCTGAATATAAATAATATTTCCAACAACGATTTGATAACGCACAGGTATCCCAAAATCATGGACTCGGAGAACATTGTGTGCAACGTTGAAAACAATGTAAGAACCAGCAAAACTTTACAACTAAAAACAATGAAATCCTCAAACTTCTTGTGCGAGTACAAGTCCCACTGTTTCGTCTTGTGCCATTGTTGTGACTTTTTTGCTTGCGATTGTGAAATGATATGCCCATCAAACTGCAAATGTCTAAACAATCTCAACTGGTCCACCAATATTGTAGATTGTGGAAGTTCTGCCAATAATGGCACCAGTAGTACAGAGATACCAAAAAATATACCCATTTACGCAACTGAAATTTATTTGGATGGTAATATTTTCCAGAAACTTGACAACCATGTTTTTATTGGACGCAAAAACTTGCAAAAGTTGTATTTGAACTCGAGCAACGTCGAGGTGATTAGTAATGAAACTTTTGCTGGTTTACTCAACTTGCAAACTTTGGACTTGTCTAATAATAAACTACAAGTGTTTAAGGGTTTTGAATTTGTTAACTTGGACGCGTTAAAAGAACTATATTTACAAAATAATCAGTTAACCCATATTGATAACACGACTTTCAAGGGCTTGACCAGTCTGGAGGTTTTAAGACTGGATGGCAACAAATTAGTCAACTTCGTTGACTTGAACATGAAAACCATGCAAAAAATTTGGCTAGGTTTAAACCAGTATGCATGCCGTTGCGAAAACTTGCAAAAAATCGCTAGTTTTGTCCAAAACAACCTGCTAAAAATCCAAGACTTATCCAATTTACACTGCGTTTCAGATGGCGTCATCCAACGTTTGAACATCGAATCCGACAAAAACGTTTGCTCAGAATTCTACGTCAAAAACAGTGAAATTTTACAAGACTACATCTACTTACTAGCCACTGTACTCATTCTATTCCTTCTAGTAATCTTCAGCATCCTAAGTATATTCTAAACATTCAGTATATAAAAAACAATGTAAACCTACTATGCTTTGTTATTAGAAAAAGTTTGAAAATCTGTCTGCACTCCAAATTTGGTGTCACCTTATTCGACCAACCAGAATTCGATAACTTGTTGTACGATGTAATGATTTTGTACAGTGAAAAGGATTTGGAGTATTTGCAGAAGTATGTTTTGGTGAATTTGAAGGATAAGTTTAAGATTTGTTTGTTGCATCGTGATGGACAAGGTACAAGTGTCCAAGAGAATTCTGAGAACTCCAAACGCCTAGTTTTGATTTTAACGCGCAACTTTTTGCAAACTGAGTGGATTAAACCGAATTAGAAATTTAAAAATCCAGAAACGTCTGGTAGTATTAAAGGACCAGAAACTACACATGCATGACCTGGATGAAGACTTCAAACCCTTTTTGAAGACTGCTAAAGATGTGAAATCCACTGATGATAAAAACTTTACAGAACGCTTGTTGTACAATTTACCGAAAGTTGGTAAGAATTTGCAGCAGCTGCAAAATCTGACAGCAACTACTCATACTTTAGAGAATAACACGACAACAGGTGCCATTAGGCAACAGAATTGTGTCAACGTAAACGCCAAGGCTGATATGTACGATTTTGAAAACTACGAGGAAAACAATTACTCGTCTGCGACGACTTGTACGCCTTCTCCAAAATTTGCCAAAAAGAACATGAGGAAGTTCCAGGAAAAGGAAAAACCTTACACGCAACGTCCAAATTCCTCAAATGCCACTGAACACATCTACTCCAGCATAGACTCGGATTATTCCACCTTAGAACGAAGAAATCTACGCCAAAATAACTTCGATCCAAATTTCGGTCAGCATCCTCCTAATTTTGGTCAACTGCCTCCGAATTTTGGACAAGTTCCTCCGCCTAATTTTGGGCAAATCGACCCTAGTTTGGTGGGTCAATTTACGCCCAATAGGGCGAATAGTCCTAATAATTTCTTGGATAGGCAGTCGCCCAATTTTATGAATCAGAATTTTAATCATAGTTTAAGACAGGCCAGTCAGAGGGGCAGGGGCGGTGATAATTCTAGGCATGTCCAGGCTTATCTGGTCTGAATTAAGGATAAAAAATTAGGGAAAGGGAAATTTTTGCCAAGGGAAGTATGGATGGATTTGATGGGTACGATGATTGAGCCTAAATTTGTTTTAAACTGGTAAAATAGGTTGTCGAGGAAGCCTTAATATTTTTATGTCTGTAGGTTTTGTTTTAGGCTTTCAGGATTTAGAGCCAAAATTTCTGGCCAAATCTTTTCGTGCCCCAAAATTTTGGAGTCAACAAGCCTAATTGTTCCTGGTTTTTGTTCAGTTTTGAATCAGTTGATCAGGTTTGTCCAGTTTCATAGATTTTATGACTTAGACATCTTGTAATAGGTTTCAGGATTTAGAAAGATAAATTCAAGCCTAAAATTTTACACTAATCCGAGATCTAGATTCTACAAAAGTCAACCAACCTTATATTTCTAGGCCTTTTTAGTTTCAAATCAAATTGATCCAGGTTTAGACTTACAATAAGGCTTAAAATGTTATATAACTTAGGTTTTGATACTTCAAACCCAAAAATTTGGTAAAAACTTGATTGAATTTGGTCAAAACTTTATCCCCTAAAATATTTTGGCTTATATGTCCTTTATCCTGCAAAAATTTCTCTCTAGACTAGTAATTTGTATAAACAATGTAATTATACTAATTTTTAAGATTGTAAAATTATTCCAAATGTTAATCTTTTCGGTAATTACTTTTATAAACTATTTTAGTATTAATTTAATATTAAAATATAATTGTTACTATTTTAATATTAGTTTAATATCAAATTGGTGCACTTGGAATTTTGAGGTCAAAACGATGCACACACGTGCCATCTGTTGTTTGGTTTTGACATTGAAATTTTGGGGTCACCACAAAATAAGACCGTATATATATATAGAAATATTTATTATTTTTTTATTGATGCATTTCCAAAATTTATATATTTATTTTAAAAATAAAAGACAAGAGGAACCTTTGGAATATTACTTATAAGGGTTATAAAGACCCCAAAGAAGGGGATTTTTTGGTTTTGAAATTATTTGAAAAATAAAAGTCAAATACTGAATGTAAAGGTCACAAAGACTCCAATCATTTTTTTTTTTGTGATTTTCAAATGATTTAAGACATAAAAGACAAATGAAACTTTAAAAATATTATTTTTAAGGGTCATAAAGACCCCAATGGATGTTTTTTTTTAATTTTACATTATTTGAAAAATAAAACAGAAAGAAATTCTTTATAAATTTACTTGTAAAAGTCATAGAGACTCCAATATGTGAAAATGTTTCATTTTCTTGGGGTCTTTTGATTGATTTGAAAAATATAAAACAAAATGACCCTTTAGGGTTTACCTAAGTATCTTAAAGACCCCAAGAAATTATTTTTACACTTTTCAAGGTTCTTTTCAATTACTTTATAAATAAAGTACCCTTCAAAGTATTACCAAGGGTCTTAAAGACCTCAAGAAATACAAATATAATTTTTTTTAGGGGTCACTTTGGGATCTTGTAGTATTTTAAAGGTTTCCAAAAATGTACGCTTTTTAGATTTTAGAATTTTTTAAAATGACGTCATTGAACAAGAAATTTAAGGAAAATGGACTAAAATGCATTTATTTGACGTGGAAATTTTTTTTGCTAAATTTATTATTTTAATTTTGCAATGTAATTTATATAAATAAACTATTACGTCAAAAATAATTTAAATGCATTTTGGTTTTACGCAGAATTTTGAAAATATAAAAATTGTTTTAATAAAAATTTGCAAATTTCTAAAAATTATGAAAGTTGCAAATTTTTGCAAACAAAAGATGTCACGTCTAAAATTTATAATATTAGTTATAAATAAATAATTGGCAAAATAAAAATTTAATATTTTAAATATTAAATTTTCGAAAAAAATATTATAGAAAATTTGAAAAGATCAAAATTATTTGGGCTTAAATTTGGATTTGTACTTTTTTGCACAAATTTGCAAAAAACGATTTTGTTGAAACAAGGGACTAATTTTTTTCTGCAAATTTTGGAAAATAATTTGCAAAAAATATTAGCCCTTATTAAAGGTCAGGTCAAAAGCAAAAGTATAAAAAATAAATTACAAAAATTTTGTAAAATGTTTAAAACAATTATATTTTTGCTTGTATACATATTTTATTATTAAAAAATATATATTTGTAATTATTGAATATAATATTAAATTAGTGTTTAATACTTTATATTTATAATTATTTAAATATAAATATTTAATACTATATAAACTAATTAATTTTTTAAGTGTTCAATGACGTCACAAAAATAAATTTATCCACATATAATTTGTATATTTGTAAATTGTATTATATAATTTATCCTAATCAAAAAAACGACTGTACATAGATATTAATTTTTATATTCTATTAATATTATTCTATTGAAAAAAACTAAATAATAAACAAATAAATAATTACGATATTAAATTATTATTGTATGATTATAACACGAACGAATTTATTTATAAACAAAAAATTGTATTAAAAAGTTTCCAAAAAAAACAAACAAAAATGAATTGAATTTGAATGAATATAAATTGAATTCGAAGAGTTATATGAAAAAATTAAATGATTTGTTTTATTTAAATTATAGATATATATTTATGTGATTTTTTTTTTCAGGATAGAGTTAAAAATTTAATTATTGAATATAATTGTTTTATATATTTTTTGCAAGTTTCAATTTTTCCAAAAAACAATTTATGTTAAATTGGATTATATAGTTGCATTTTTAAAGAGCTCATCAGGACATCAAGTGGAATATTTATGATTTATTTTGTCCATATAAATGCAATTTATTGTTATGTATTTCCGTATTATTATTTGGAGTTGTTTCTTGAAATTTGATTTTTTACTTGTGAGCAAAAGTGCTTGCCAGTCAGTAGAGTCCCTTTTTTGTAATAATAATGATTTGAATGTAATATTTTATTAATTTATTACTCCAAATGACTTTCAAATTGTTCGTCAGTAGAGTCTCTTTTTGTCATTTTTGTCCTCAACTAAAGTACTCAATTACCGAGTAACATAACGTTGATAGTTATTTCTCTAATATTATGGCGTAATGAAATTCCGATAACAGTAGGAATAAATTAAATAAATTAAGATATTCGTAAAAATGGAGCGACATTTTTAAAACATTTGTTTGTCATGTCTCTTTTTTTCCTATTCACTTTGGATAAAACAAATAACAAACAGACATGTTGTTTCTTTTTACAGATATCATGGCCGATGGAAAGGCAAACATGGTAATGAATAGAAAAGAATTAATTATACGTTGCAGAAGGATAGCGTAATTGTTAAAAATAATAGTTATACACTAGTCCAACAATTACTCAACTACTTAAGCAAAATTATTTATTTCAATTTTTTACGAGCTCTGCAGGATAGAGAAATTGCTCTACAAGTTATAAACATGAATGAACTACAGAAACATGTTTGAAATATTATAGAAACCTTTATAAACATATTTATATAAGGAAATAAACGTTTAACATACTGTGAAAAAAAAGGATTTGTATAGAATCTTGAATTTCCAATGAACATAAAACACGTTGGAGAATAAGCATTATAAAATATATCACCATAATAAATTTAGCTAACACTAAATATGGCGAAAAAAGATTTATTTAATTAATATAAACTTACATTCAAATCAACATTTTGCAACTAAAAGTGAATGACAACCTAGAAGTAAATCATTTCAATTGATTGAAAAGGGACTCTACTGTTAGAAGTCGATTTTTTTAAATAGTAACTAGTGGTGTATGGCATCGTGCCTTAAGGCAAATTGCTGGAACTTCCCTTACCGTAACGAAATGTTCGAGGAATATTAAATCTTTTCAAATAGATTAATATAAATACTGTAACATTTTTAATATTTCTAAGAACTATATAAACTGAATTGCAGAGTTAAAATTATTTATTTAAAGTATATAAATGAGCTTTAGTACTTTAGCAATAATTAAAAATAAAACTGAATTATTTTCGATATACAAAAAATTAAACTAGTTGGTTTGGTATTTAGCCTTGAGGCAAGTTACATGAACTTCCCGATATGTGTAAATAATCGACTTACTTATTAAAAAAAAAAATGTGTAAATAATATACTCATCAATCATACTTTTAAAAAAAAACGATAATAATTTTAGCAAAGTTTGACGAATTTTTAAAATTAAACTACTTGTCGTAAGGCCGTAGTATTACAGTAAGTTCTATAAGACTATGATGTATATCGCCACAAAAAGTTTCATAAAAATCGGCTTAATTTTTTTTTCAACAGTTAATTACAAGAAAACGGCTCGGTAGATTTCGCCTAAAATTAATCAGTACCATTCTCAACTAATATCTTTCGAACAGTTTTTGATTTTTTAAAATCGGTTCGGTAGGATGAGCTTAAATGTGGACAAAAAGTTTAACACTTTTTTCAAAAGTTAATTACAGAAAAACGGCTCGGTAGATTTTCACCTAAAATTAATCAGTACCATTCCCAACTAATATCTTTCGAACAGTTTTTGATTTTTCAAATCGGTTCGGTAGGATGAGCTTAAATGTGGACGAAAAGTTTAACACTTTTTTTCAAATTGCAAAGGAACGGCTTGGCAGATCGTCGCACAAAACTGACAAACATAGTCCTCACCGAAATACATCAAATGGCTTTTAAATTTTCAAAATCGGTTCAAGCGTTTTTGAGAAAACGTCGATCAAAAGTCTAATTTTGACAAATGCCAAAAAGACCATACTGATTTTTGCAAACTTTGACGAATTTTTAAAGCTGAACCAGTTGTCGTAGGGCCGTAATATTTTAGTATGATCTAGAAGACTATGGTATCTACCGTCAAAAAAATAATCATGAAAATCGTCGAAATTTTTTTTTTAAAAACTTTATTACAAGAAAACGGCCCGGCCGATCTCTACCAAAAACTAATCAGCACGATTCCCAATCAATATCTTTCGACGGTTTTTGAATTTCTTAATCGGTTCAGAATTGCGGGCTAAAACGTGC